TTTTTCCCCCATTTCTCAATGACTTTTTCGCCATTTTTCCCCATTTCTCAATGATTTTTTCCCCCATTTCTCATGGATTTTTCACCCAATTTTCATGGATTTTTTTCCCGATTTTTCCCAATTTCTCTCTGATTTTTTCCCCCATTTCTCACTGATTTTTTTCCTCCATTATTCATGGATTTTTCCCCCCATTTCTCACAGATTTCTTCCCCATTTCTCCCCATTTCTCACTGACTATTTCCCCCATTTTTCAAGGATTTTTTCCCCCATTTTTCATTGATTTTTTTTTCTCATTTTTCCCCATTTCTCACTGATTTTTCCCCCATTTTTCATGGATTTTTTCCCATTTCTCACTGATGTTTTCCCCCATTTAGCATTGATTTTATTCCCCAGGATTGGCCACCACAGCATGAGCGGTGACAGCTCAGCGTACCGCTTGGTGGACGAGGTGAATTCCTGGGACAGGCAGGACCATCCCATCTCCCGCCTGCGCCTCTACCTGGGCAGGAGGGGCAGGTGGGACGAGCAGCAGGAGCAGGCCTGGAGAGAGAGCTCCCAGAAAATGGTCATTCTGGGGCGGATTTATGGGATTTTGGGGCATTTATGGGGTTTCGGGCTGGGAAATATTCAGTGTTTTGGGGTGGTGTCCTTAGGGTTTGAGGGGGGGGGGAATTTATGGGGTTTTGGGGTGGGAAATACTCGGAATTTTTGGGGGAGGAATCCATGGGGTCTGGGGAGAGAAATCGTTGGGACTCTGGGGAAGGATCGCTGGGATTTTAGGTTGGAAGTTTGGGAGTTTTGGGGTGGGAAATATTCGGTGTTTTGGGGTGGAGTCCTTAAGGTTTGAGGGGGGGAATTGATGGGATTTTTTTGGATGGAAAGCTTAAGGATTTTGGGGTGGGAAATACTCGGCATTTTGGGGAAGAATCCCTGGGATCTGGGGAGAGAAATTGTTGGGATTCTAGGTGGAGAAAACCTGGGATTTGAGGGGGGAATTTATGGGATTTTGGGGTGGGAAATATTCGGAATTTTGGAGAGGAATCCCTGGGGTTTGAGGGGGG